GTGTCGACACATACGCATTTTGTGTCGACTCATGCACCTTCCATATTTCTGTTTTAGGCCCTGGATAGCAGTATGAGTCGATGCATACGACCATGTGTCGACTCATACCCTGCTTTTTCACTTAGAATGAGTCGACCCATGTTACAATTTTTAACATCTATCACCATTCTTTTGCATGTATCAATCATTTTTCAACATATAAATGATAAAAATGAACAGGTTTTTTGGAGTGTTGTGGCAATGTATAGAAGTAGCATATAATTTTTTGTTCAGCAATAACTTGGACAACATAGTTTGCATTATGAAACAAGTTTGGTTTGTGGAGTAATTTATGCACATTATATCAAAGACAAAGCATTATGGCAAGGTTTTGAGTCAAAGGGAAAAGTCCAAGCAATACAAAATTTAGGGTTTGTAAACTTGCAAAAATGTCACTTTGTGATAACTTGAATTATTTATAACATCTTGAACTATTTTGAATTGTAGTGACAAGATGTCATGAAGCAATGAACTTTAACTTAGTGAAATTTCCAAGTCTTGCAAAAGTTAGATTTTTGACTTTCTTGATTTTTGATGATCAAATTTCATATTTTGGATGTCTTGATGAAATATGATTTTTGGGATTCAACTTTGGTCAAAAAGTCAAAGTTTGACTTTTTAGTGTATAGTTGGCTTTTCCCACCAGTTGACTGAATTTTGTCTATCAATCCACTGATCTTAGGAGATGAATTGAAATGTGCAATTAGGTCAAAATGACGCGCTCGGATCCTTGAGATCATGCTTCCAACCAATAAGCCAGGTATTAGGTCAAAAATCAAAGTTCGATCATTCTCAGTCACAACCCTAATTTTTGCCCATTTTGTCCTTGTAAATGTCTTTCTTGGGAAATTTTAGTCCAAGACTTGAAACTTGATAGAAGCAAGCCTGAGAGTCTAGGAGTATCCTTTGAGAAATGAGAGGGAAAATTTTAGGGTACAACAGTATCCATGGCATCTTGTTTGAGCACGCGACTCCGTGCGATTAAATCTCTCCTAGTCATGAGGATTTTCTCTGTGTCATTCTCTTCATCGGCAAGTGCCACGATCCCCTCCAACTCTTTTACCCTGGCGGCCAATCGCTTATTCTCCTTAGTTGCAGCATCCAGTTGAGGCCACAACTCATTTAGATCTTTGAGGAGCTGGACTTGTGCCTCATACTTTGTCTCGTGGTTGAGGATGTCACCCTTCAGCTTTTCATTTATCCCTTGCAGCTTCTAGATCCAGGCATAAGCTTTGTCAAGAGCGGCCTGAGAGCCTGTGGCCTCATCGTTTAGCGTCAAATCTTTTTCAAGAACCATCATCATGGAGGCCACATCGTCCGACAAGTTCTTCTGTTAAGTTTCTTTATCCTCGGATAAGATCACTTCCCTTTCTTCCTCAAGAAGACCTAAAGAACTCTTCCCTCTAAAAATCGCAGTTGAGATAACAGTGAGGAAACCCGAAAAATACCTCGACTCCCTTGTCACTTGCAACAGACGCTATAAGCTCGGGGTCCTCCACATGTTTCCTCTTTACCGATTTTTCGGGAGGAGGAGCCAGGGTCCTTGAAGAGGAGGGTGAACCACTTGGAAGGGTAGAAGTTTTGGCCTGCTCCTGAAGTTGAGCAACCTGATTCTTAGGCCCCAAGTTGGAAGCATTTTTGGGTCTCAACTGGAGTAAACATTCAGAGAGGGACGCCATCTGATCTACAATCAAAAAAGAAACTATCAGTCACAAAAAAAAAAACATACAAAAATAAAATCACGGGTATATCCCCTACCTAAAAGTCTCAAAGCCTACTCGCCTGAAGAGCACTCGAGAAGCGCTTTTGTATTAATCAATATGTGAACAAGGAGATACTCCTCTTTATCATCAAAAAGGAAGTTGTTGTCCATATCTACACACTTCACTGGTGAGAAAATCTTGACATTAGCCACCAACTTGTCATAAGAAAGTTGATTGTGGATGTCCAAGTCTTCGGGTTTCATCGTATAATATTCGAGCTTCTGCTCGAAGTGTTTCCACTACCACTCAAGAGGAAACCTAGCCGTCAGCCGGACTACTGTCTGACCCCCCCTTGATTTCTTTCAAGTGACCATACAAGGAAGCCACAACCATATCTGTAAGAGGATTCACTATGAATTACCTCTTTTAAAGTGGAGAACAGATTCAAGATACGACCGAAAAAGTTTTCTGAGCTGTTTGAATGACACCCAGGTTTGTCGCCCTCAAATGGACTATCGTTGTAAGTGAAAGATGCAAAAGAAAAGGGGAAATGTGGCACTGATTTAAAGGTATTGGCATACAAGCTCGAACACACGCATGAAGGCGAGTACATTCAGATGAAGCTGGGAAGATGCCAGTTGTAACCACTGGAAAACCCCCACCAGGAAGTCGTTGAATGGAAAACGCATCCCCGCTTCCTTAAAAGCAAACTCATATGTAGGAAAATGTTTGCTCGAGAATTCCGAGAATATCCTCTTGTTCCGGTGAGGGATTTTAAGAGCCCAATTGGAAGGAGCACCCTCCGCTCGGACCTCGAGGACATTGAACGCGTCAGAAGCATCCTGGAAAAAACATGATTTTTTATTCCGAGGCTCGGGTGCGACCCAAGCCAAAGGGTCATCCACGACAGTAATATTATTTTCGTGAGTGTCGGGCACGACGTCTTCCTCGACTTGGTGTGCAATCGAACCTGAAAAGAAGGGGAAAATAGTGAATTCGGCATCATCAAATTCACCCTTCCACCATATATCAAGTGAAAGGGAAATAAATGCTTCGAGGAATGGACCTCGACCAAAGCTCTCAACAGCCAACACCGAAATGAACAACGCCCTGCGCGGGGACATTTGACCGAACAAGAAAAATTGCCCAAATCCTCCCCGACCCCGACTCGAGTCCATGAAATTAGACGAATATTCATCCACAACCATGAATTTTGATGAACATCCATGAAGATTCACTTCAGAACCCATGAATCTTCATCCAGGGATTCATCTGTTCATGACAAAACCCAAGTGTTTAATCTAAAAATTCTAAGAAAAAGCGTTATCAAAAAGATATAACTTACTTGGAAGAAGATTGCCTTTGAAGACGCCTACGATGACGTTAGAACATAGCAGATCCACGAGCGAACGTAAGAGAGAGGAGAAGAGAGTTTGAAAATAATAAATGAGCCATTGGATTCCCTTTTTTATAGATAGTTCACACCTCACGAGGCAGCACACGAAAAATCATCATTATTTAGGGCTTTTGGACTCATCTATGAAAAGATGGCACCCCAAATAGTTGTCATGCGGGGTTGACAAGAGGACATGTTTCCCACAACAGTCTCGATGGCGTTTCACACTCAGTGGCGGGCAAACACGCGACATTATGACAAAGCCTTGCATACAGGAACATTTATATCGTTTCACTCCCGAAGGCGAGGTAAACGCTCGACATCATAACAACGCCTTATAGATGGACATGTCAAAGACGAGTACTCGGGGAAACTCCTCGCATCCCATGATTATATATCCCTTAACGGGCACCAAGCCGACACTATCAGAACCAAAGCTGACCAATGGACTGTCCACTGAGCTGGTCGACCATACCGCACACATATTTTCTGAATCTTCGACATGAGTCAACGAGCCATCCCCAACAGAGGTTGGCAATTTCCCCTCTTGGGCGTTGTTTCCCCGACAGTTGAGTTGAACTTAAGTCATTGCTCTTTCACCTAAGGACAATAACTTGGGGGCTCCTGTTCTAGACTTGGCCAAGCGCTGGGGGCTATAAATACTCTCTCACTTGAGAGAGTCAGGTATTTAATCACTCATTCATCCTCTCATACTTGCTTGCATTTGCTTTAAACTTTATTTTGACATCGGAGTGTCTTACAAATACTCTCACTTCACATTCAACTGCTGTTCAACTTAAAGTTTGTGGCATTTGATAATCCCTCCTGATCAGATACGATAATACTGTACTTGAAAAACTTTTATAATAAATTTCTTTTATTTTGACATGAAACCAAAAAAAAAAAAAAAACTTAACTATCATTCTTAATGATTAAATTGTTTATATCTAATTAAAAACAAACGGATAAGTCATAAAAAAGTGTATTAAAGACAAACTTTTGAACAGGTCCGTGAGTTTATTTAGTCAACGATATTGTATTAAAGACATATAGATAGATCTAATGAAAAGAAGTTTATTGAAAAAGAATATTCTATTAAAATGTTTGTTACATATCAACAAAAATGTTAGTTACAGGCCAAAAAATTTGTTGGTAATCATCAATAATATATTTTTAAATGTGAATATTGTAGGATGAGCTCATGATGCTAACATCATGCGTGCTGCTGATCAGAACACTATTTGGCAATTGTATGTAGTAAACAATAATATCCTTATTCATTGCTAATATGGTTTTTTGACTACAAAAGTTTGTAGGAACCTGGTAGTTTCCCAAAGCCATATTCTTAGACTTTTGTTTTGGCGTTTTAGGTTAAGGTCTCCTTTCAATGAATTTTTTTTTTCTAGGAAAAAAAGAAATAATTTATGAGGTCTTTCTAAATTTCATTTTAAGTTTACATTCACATATATTTAAGCATAATAAATACTTTAGAATTATAATTAAAACTCGATTCATATTGTATTGAATTTTTGTTTTGACTCGGTTGTAATGATATGACAAATAAATAATACTCTGATAGAGAGTAAATTATAGTAAGACATTTATATTATTAGTTATTAGTATTATTATTGGACTCTCAATAATATTTGAATTTTTAAGTTTATTATTGAGCTTTTGGAATTAATCAATAAAATTAAAAATTATCTTTTATTCTTAAGTTAGTTTGTTCATAACTAGAATTTCTAGTTTCTATTAGTCTAACGGTTCTTGTTTAGCTTCCTAACAATTACAGCAGGTGAATGGTTTACTGCTGGAGTCTCAATATACTCGTTTTAATATACAGTTAATTATGGCAGGATGACATGCCTATGGTTAGAAGATCTGCTGCAACAAATCTTGGGAAATTCGCTGCAACTGCTGAGTATACTCGTTTGAAGGTTGAAATCATGTCAATTTTTGACGATCTTACTCAAGACATTCAAGACTCTGTCAGATTGTTAGCCGTGAAGGGATGTGCTGATTTGGTTTCTTGGTTCACCCCTTGTCGGTGGTAGGAGATTGTATAAAGCCATATCTCGTAGTTCTATTTGAAATTCTTGCTTCATACACGTTGTGTCACACAAAGACCCACTTCCAAAGCTCTTCATTACAAATCAAACCAGTTCCCACATGCCTTTTGGAACATTTATCATGTGCTCTGATGCAACCTCTTTTGAGAACCCGGATTCTATCTTGGAAATTCCCCCACTACCACCAAAACCTCTGGATGCTAAACCGCACGTCGATTCACTTAATTCAATAAAGTTCAAAGCAGAAGTGATTGATAGAGTTACTGGAAGCAGAGAAAATCATATTGCAAATGTCATGGAAAGTTGGACAGTAGTAGATCTTTGAGCAGCTTTCATGATCCTCTTTTCTTTTATGGGAAAGATCAACATGAAATTTGTATCACAAAATTGGAAACTTTCATGGATAATACTAGTATTTGGGTTGTTGTCAAGAACAATATTCTCATCATATGCTTATAAAAAGAATATCCAAACTCAAGCTTTTATGTCTTCCAAGATTGAACTAAGTCTAGAATCTATTCAAACAAAATTTTCCATGATGAAGAAATTCTTGTTATAATTATTCAGTTTAAGTAATAGGATCTGGGAATAATTTTAGAATGGGTTGAATATACTTTATTTTCTTGTAATAGTAGCGAGTTTTGATTTGTTTCTCTATTAAAAAAGAATTTCTTCTACCCCTTAACAAATATAGATTCCCAAACAGAAAATCCTGTACCCTAAGATTCTCTATGAGTTTCATACGTGACATTAGATTCTTTGCTGACTGTGTTATTAAAAACTATGCTGAAATGTTTGTGTCTATTACAAATATTTAGTCTTCTGATTAACCTCCTGAAAAATCTAGGGTTCAATATAAAAAAAATTAGCAAGTTCACCATGGGGAAGAAATTAGCAGCGAAGAAGAAGCACTCCAAGAAGGATAAACATTCAAGTCAACCGAAGAAGCACGAGGAAGGAGGCGCTTATGTTGATGTTGAGCAATTAATTATGGAGTGACAAACAAGTTTGAGGCATGCAAATCAAAGATTATGCAGCCTAGGCTTGGATTTGAATTCTTGTTCATCATGGAAATGACCTATAATTCAAGAATGAATGTCCAACTTCTTGTCTTCGATTCTCTATGCTCAAACATGATCTCAATGAGTTCTTGGATATTTTGGAAAGCTTGTAACATCCCCTACAACCTCTATGTTGGTCACTTTTGAAAATTCCTCTTGGAACTATGTGAAAAATTGCCATGAAGTTAGGTCAAAATCCTGCCTAAACTAGGGGAAAATTTCACTAAGTTTCCAAGTTTCATGAACATGTATTCACAAAATCATAACTTGAAATACATCCATTTCTAGGAGAAGTTGTGTTCTACAATTTTTCAGATGTCATTGAGATCTACAACTTTCATGTTGATAGTTTCCTTTGAATCATCTTGCATCATGGTGAAAAATTGGCTCAAAGTTGTGAAAAAAATATGAATTTTCAAACACTTAGAAAATTTTTTAAGTTTAGAAATTTTGACTTTTCAAAATGAAATCTTGACTTTTTGATTTCTTGATGAACAAGTTTTATATTTTGACATGTTTTGATGAATTGTGATCTTTGATACTTGATTTTGACCAAAAAGTCAAAGTTTGACTTTTTAGTGTACAATTGACTTTTGATCAGTTGATTGAAAATCAACTATCAAACCATTGATCTTGAGCCATGTTTTGAGTCATGACATTAGGTAAAAATGATTCAATTGAATCCTTGAGATCATGTCTCCAGCCAATCAACCATTTGCTAGGTCAAAAATAAAAAATTGCACTTCCTCAGTTAAAACCCTAATTTTGACCATTTTGCCCTTTTGATTATCTGATCAAATTTCTTGAGGAATTATGGTCCGAACTTGATCAAATGACATATATGATTTCATAATGTTGATATGGATAAAAAATTATGAAGTTTGACTGTAAATTGACCACAATTGACTTTTTCCCCAATCCAACTGATTTTTAGGTCAACTGATCAATTGACTGAGCAAAAATATGATCTAAGACTTGAAACTTGTCATGAGAAAACTTGACAGTCCAAAATGATTCATGAAAGTCATATGAGGCATTAAAAGTTCAATTATCCTTGTGCAATCTCAAACCCTAATTTTCAGTCATCAATGCTTGAGGAGGTGTCTTGAGCTGATCAACCCTAGTGCAGTCTTGAACCAAAGGATATCTTGTGAGAGATTACTTGATAAATGATAGGGAAAATTTTAGGGTACAATAACGTAGGTTCTGCATCTGTTGGATTAAGCGACCGTGTGAGGATCACCCAACTTAATTGGTGCATTCCCTATTTTCTTACGGTAAAGCGTATATAATTTAAATATACTGGATCATTCACTTATATTCATCGACTCCCTACGTAGTTCATGTTTAATACGGTGATGAATGCTAGATAAACTACTTGGGGTTATTTTAAAGCTAAAGTTTAAGGTTTTGGTATAAAGGGTACTGAGATCGATCTAACGCAATCTAGGGATTATGAGTGTTATGACGATATCCATCGTACTTCTGTTTTGCTCAAAGTTTCTCATATATATTTTGAAAAGTGAGGAACCTATATGTTCTTCGAATGCGTCGAATTATGCAAGTAACAAACAAAAATATTTTTTTTATGGCTCAAGAAAGTGAGAAATTAGATAACAATAGAAAAATTGCATAAATGAAGATGAAAGTACATAGATTATTTTTATTACAGGAAATAGAAATGAAAGATCTACATAGGAAACAACAAAGAGTTCTTACTAACTAGCTCCCCTAAGCTTGAAATAAGCAGTGTCCCAATGCTTAAAAGCAAGAAGGAAACGAGAAGAGAAGCAAAATAAATCTATTCTTGCTCATTATCACGTCATCTTCCTCGTCCTCGTGCTCGTCCACGTGTACCTGGAGGATGGGGCATGGCTACATGGTAAACATATTCCTGAAAACTATTCACGCATACGGTCAATGCCGCCATATCCTCAGTTAATCTTCCAGCCTGGCGCTCGTTTCTTTCATCGTACTCTTGCTGTTGAGTTTGCATAGCCAGCATCAGTTGCATCATCTGGTTTTGATTGTTCTGCATGGATTGCATTCTCTCATCTTTTTCCATTATGGCAGCCATAATGTCATCATTCGAGGCCGGTTGTCTTTCTTTTCTTCTCCTAGGCCTAGTGGACGTGCTTGCCACGTTTTCAGGAGGAACTTGTTATTCAGAGTCTCCTTGTTCCATTTCCTATTCCATTTCATCCGCTTGGACATTCCCCTGGCCGCTTCTCGCATTATCTCCAGGTGCAGGAGCATCAAGGTCATAAAGCCACTTAGACAAATCTGTAACATTAGTAAGCACAAAGTTTGGCAAAATGCTACTTAGGACTACATTAACCAAGTGGCCAGCCCGGCAGTTGTCAATGTCAATAAACATGGGCGGAAGTGATGGCAGATTTGCAAGCTTGTCTGAAGGTTGAGGCCAAGTGCTATAGAGGTGACTATCCCTCCGATGCAGAAAGGCATAGATCCTCTGGCACACAAGGACTGGATATGTGATATGAGGAAGGCACATGCGTTGATCCTTTGGTTGGGTTTGAAGGCGTAGTGAAGGAGGAACAACTCTTTTGAATTAACTTTGTTGTTGTTCATTTTTCCAAAAATTGTATTTGAGATGACACGGTGGAAGTACCTTATTGCGGGGTTGTGGATGGAAGAAGCGTAAAGTCCTTCCCAGCTGTTTGGTTCTTCATTGGTAAGAACCTTCCAAAGCTTGAAACCTATATAAGCCCAATCAAGGTCTTCTGGAATGCAATGGTGTACCGTCCCTTCGGTAAGAAAGTGGAAGAAGGCATTGAGAGTGGATTTACTTACAAAATGTCTGTTGTTGAACATTCTAAAAGTGGCAGAGCCGGATAGGTGCTTGTTCTCATCACACGGCAGGTTGTAAGAGAACAAACTCAGAAATTTCAAGGTTAGCGACTCGTATGTCGGGAGGTTCTGCATGCAGATGGACGTCAAATCTGAGTGATGGAGCAACCACTGGATGCTATCGAGTAAGCCTAATTTTAGGAGGTACTCAGTATCCACATACCGTGTCAGTATGACGGAGCGTTGGTAGAACTTGAGGTACTGAGCCCTTTGGTGCTCTCTGGCTTCTCCATTACGAAATATAATGTCGGAAAGATCAGGTTCAGGTCTGGAATTTCTTCGTGCCTTTTTTTTGAAGCAAGAAAAGGAGAAGGGTGAAGGTTTATGTGAGAAATTTGGGGATTTCAGAGTGAAAAAGGGTTTGGGGATGATTTATATAGGGAGATATAGTGGAGGTGATATGTGGATTTTAATGAATTTTTATGGTAATGAATATGGGGAGAGATTTAGGCGAAGGTTCAATGAACTATGAGCAGCGGTTGAAGGATTTGGAAGGGTGAAAATGTTTTTGCGAGGGTTTCTGTATTACAGGAATGCGTCTGGAATATCAGTGTATGTGTCGAGCGTCACACATATGTTCTGAGCGGCACAGGGCTATGTGAATCGTGACGAGCGTCACGCTTGTGTGGCGAGCGGCAAACTTCCAGAATTGCAATATTTTGAATTATTCTATATTGTAGAATACCAGTTCAAAAAATTCTACATATATATATGGGTAAATAATATTGAATCATTTAAGCATAGCATATACACGTTAATATGATACTAATGCATAATAAACTAAATAAATAAACACATAACAAAATGGAACTAAAAAAATGATAAGAATTGTACTGAATGATAAAATTCCAAAAATACTAAATAAGAAAATTGTACTGAATGGTAAAGTTCCAAAAATACTAAAATAAAGTGTCAAATAAATAATGAAAATCTAATAAAACGTCTCTCCACACTTAAACAAAACATTGTCCCCAATGTTTTAAATATGGAAAGAAAATAAAATAAAGCAGTATGTATGGTGAATCAGCTACGACGGTCCTGCGATGTAGAGAAAAGATGCTGATAAATGTAATCTAGATGTTCGACTACCGTATCCATAAAGGAATGGAAGTCAATCCTCAAAATAACAAGCTCGTCCTTCAACATATCAATTTTTGATTAAATCATAGTCAAAACGGGAGCAAGATGAAATACAGGAGGCAGAGAAACAACTAGAGAGTCAGGGAAATTTGAGCCTATCTGTTCGGGAGGTGGGAAGTCATGGTGAAATGAGGGGTCTCAGGATTAATATCCTCATCGGAAAGGAAAGCATCTAGGTGGTCATATATCATGGGTGTCTTAAGAGTGTGTGGTGGTGACATGTGTGGTGTATCCCAATCATATAACCAGTTAT